TTTCTGATACTGCACCACCCCACCTGGAGAGCTGACTGGCACAGGAGCGTGAGAATGGTGGGCTTCAGCATGGCAGTGTGTCAGGGCTGGGAGCAGCATGGTGAATGTCGGTGGACCACCGATGACAAAATGCAGGAGAAGAGCCCTGAGCAGTGTCGTGCAAGCACCAGGGACCGAGTGGAACAGAAACAGTCCGAGACAGCCTTGAGCACAGCACATCGAAACAAGTGAACTGTAGGTGTCAAAAGCAGCAAAACATGTCTCTATAAGAGTAGACATAAATACATTGCACAATCTCAAATATGGTAGTGTTTGAATTTCAAAAACCTGTCACAGTAAGAAGCACGTCATTAGCCTCAGAGTCCTCCCTTTTGCTGAGAATACACCTGTGCCCGCCGCTTTCTGAAGCCGTTCCGAAGTCCTCTTTCGAAAGTGTCTGCCTTGACGTCCTGAATCAGTTCCGCCGTTTCCCTCTCCCGGTCATCCTGACTCGGGGAAGAGCCAGAAGTCACACAGTGCAGATGCGACACGGTGGCTGGGGGAGGAGGACGCAGTGCCACACCTTTGGCAGCCTGCCTCTCCCTGGATGGCGCTCTGGCAGCAGCACCTGGGATCACACTTTGTAAAGACGCTCAGGAGAGAGGACTTTGGGGCCTGCTTCGGGAAGTGGGGAGCACAGTGAGGAGTAGGAGTAGCCATGCGCCTTTCACGGTGGTAACCTTTGTAAGGAAGCATTCACTATATTCTGGAACCCACCCTCCATATGCTGCACCTCCGTCACACACACGAGGCCAGCTGCCTGAGGAGAAGCACAGTGGGGAGAGGGCAATGGTACCAACCGAGCTGCAGCCTCAACGGCCCACGTGGGCAGCATGCTGGTCCTGACCCACGGGGCCGCTGGGCTCCTGCACGAAGGTCCAAACTCAGGAAGGAAGCCACGTAGCTGAGAGGGCTGGGTCCCGGGGCTGAGCGCCCGGCTCCCAGGCCAGGTGTTGAAGGAGGTTAATGATTGCCAGGTGCTTGCTTAAGAGCCTTGGACACGCCTGCCTGCTCTCTGGGCCAGAGGTTCCCAGCCCTGGCAGCGCATTAAAGACATCTGGGGAGAGATTTAGCAGCACCACTCCCAGCCCGAGGAGAGGCTCCAGAGACTGTGGGTCCCCTCGTCAGAGAGCTTTTAGGGCCGCCCAGGTGAGTGGAACGCATGCTGAGAATTCAGGACCCTGGCTCTATGTATCTTTTTTCCAGTTGCATACTTTGCCATTTGCAAAGAGAGCCTTGTAATCAGGTTATTTTCCCCCCTTTTGCAAAACATTAATTTCTTCATTAACAGAAAACACTAAACATTGCAAATTCACTTCATTTATTTAGCCATACATTGAAAGTATTTGCTGGGTCGCTGTGTGGTTCTGGGGCGGGTGCTGTATGGTTCTGGGGTGGGTGCTGTGTGGTTCTGGGGCGGGTGCTGTGTGGTTCTGGGGCGGGTGCTGTGTGGTTCTGGGGCGGGTGCTATGTGGTTTTGGGGCACACATCCACAGTACGGTCTCTGCCGGCTAAGACCTCTGCAGCTGGGCAGTGCACAGCCTGCCCCTTCATCCCTCACGGCCCGAGTGTCCAGTCTGAGTGCTGCTCTAGACGAAGTCCTGTGGCAACACCGTTAACAGCAGAAGCCAGCCACGAAGAGGACAGTCCTGGGCTGGAGGAAGGGACAGCTCTCGGGAGGAATTCAAATGTGAGCCTGAATCTGAAGAAGGAACGGGTGAGGACCAGGGACAGGAGGAGCCAGGCCTGGTCACAAAGATGGAGCGGGCCAGACGGAGCAGAGTGACATCATCCCGGGCAGTGCAATGAAGTCCTCGCACTCAGAACCCACAGGCTCATCCTGGGGCTGGGCAGTGGGGGCAGAGAGGGATCGAGGGGCAGGGAGGAGGAGGGCCGGCCCTCCAGAGGTGGAGACACAGCTGAGGGGTGACAGGGTGACTCGGCCCAACCTCATGAGCTTGGAGGGGCTGCACTGGGCTGAGCCTCTGGGCCAAGGCTCTGCGAGGCCATGAGGAGAGCGAGACCTTCTAATTCCTTCACAGGTGCTCGGCTCTCAGCGCTCTGGGAAGCTGAGGCAGGAGAACCCCTTTGCGTTCAGTGCCAGTCTGAACTGTATAGTCAGACCCTGTCTCAAACAAACAAAAACAGACAGCAGATTCACAAGGAAAATAAAGGCCATTAGGTTAAGCAGCTGGCCAAGAGCTTTAGGGAGGTTTCTGGCCCGGCATTAGGTGGTTAGCCCCGGTGCTGTCCTGCTGTGGGAGCAGGAGGCCCCCTGGGGCTGAGGTGGTGCCGACAGGGCCGGGGAGGGTTCCACGCAGGAACCTAGGCTTGCCGGATGTGCGTCCTCCATGGTGGGAACCAAGGACACCTGCTTCCACCCCCGCCTGGCACAGCAGAGATCACGATTGGAACCAGCCCGAGAGCGCCTGACACCCACCAATACTGGGAACCGCTGTGTGGAGATGATTTCAGAGCCGTGGGAGAAGCTGGGCGTGGTGGCACATACCTATACCTCAGCACCCAGGAAGCTGAAGCAGGAGGATTGCAAGCTCAAGCCCCAGCTTGGGCTAATCAGTGGCTTGGCAAGATCATGTCTCAAAGCAATAATCAAAAATAAGAAGAGTTGGGGGTGTAGCTCAGCACCGAGGCCCTGAGTTCATTTCCCAGTAATACGCACACAATGGGGGAGCAGACATGGGACCACAGGTGCAGAGAGACCCTCAAGGCCACCATTCGGAGCAAACGTGGAGGCCACAGAGGTGGTGGCAGGAGAGGGCGACCACATTTCTAGTGCCAGGCAGCGGCAGATGCCATGGGAAACCATGGAGGGTGGGGCCTCGAGGCACAGTGGCCCCCGGAGCAGGACAGGCAGGATGGCTGCGTGCTGCCCGCCGAGGCCAGGACCAGGGCCAGGGCGACCCAGAAGCACCTGAAGCCTTGGGTCCCCAGACGGCTCTGCTCAGAGCAGGTGGAAAGGGATGAGCAGTGAGGACCCAGCACAGCCAGACGGAGAAGCAGCACAGGACCCAGGGCTGGGTCACACAGAGCCCCAGAGCCCACCCACAGGGCACAGCCGGCCCCGCTGGAGCCCTTCTCTTTCCGAAGCATCCATCTTCCCCTCCCTAAAGCGGGCATGATCAGGTGCCCTGCTGTCTGGTGGAAGGACCATCACTCCGTCCCTCATTGATGCATTCACTCAGCACCTGCCAAGCCCAGCTGCATGCCGGGCCCCGTGGGACACAGGCATTCACAGCGTCCAGCACAGAGCAGCCGCACCCCGAAGCTCCCCAAGACAAAGCATCAGCAGAGCGTCACAAAGGTCTAAGAAGTGGCATTCATAAGAGGCTTGCATCAATGGCAGTTTTCGTCACATGGGGAACTACGCGATGTGTGGGGTCTCATTCTTTCCTAATCACATTTGGTGGTTAGGGCTGGAATATAGCTCAGTGTGCAGATTACCAGGAATAAGGCACCTTGAGTTTGAGACTCAGTACTGCAAAGAAAAAAAGAAAAAGAAAGGAAAAAACTAATACTTAATCAGTACCACTTAACACTTGCAGAGCTGAGCATGGTGGTGCACACCTATCAATCCAGCCTTCAGGAGGCTGAGGCAGGAGGGTTCCATGAATCTGAAGACAGTCTGGGCTGTCAACATAGTGAGTTCAAGACTTTTGTCTCAAAAGATGTAAAAGAACACTTGCAGGAATAAGCAGCAGATGCATGGGGTGGAGGGGTCACATGGAAAAGGCCACTGTGTCACACCCACACAGACTCCCACTGGGACTTCTCATGCATGACAGCAAAGGTTCTCAGCCTCCTCTCCCAGGCGTTTGCTGGTCAGCAGTGGCATCAGGAGTAGCGCAGAGATGCTCTGTGTGACACTCATTTGGGCAGGAGATCGGGGCCCTTTTTAAGGAAAAGCGCTGGCACAATATTGATCTGTAGCTGACTGCTCAGGCGGGAGTCTGCGGCCTGGTTGGGGGCGGCTGCATGTTCTGGGTGTCTGGGAGAATCTCTGGTAACTGCCGCTGCAGACAGTGATGGTGGCCTGACACCACCGTCCCTGTGGAGTTAACTCCATTCATGGCGAGGATTCTCAAGGCCCTGGAACTGCATGCAGTCGGCCCCATACAACCCCAAGCTTGACCCCCACACAAGGCCTTCTTGGAGACAGAAGAAGCCAAGGGACCAAGGCACAGGTGGCACTGGGAAGAGGCCATGCAGGGGCCGTGCCACCCCCAGGCACCCCGCAGGCCCCCTGTTGAAAGCCACTCTGGCCCCCATGCATGGGAAGTGGAGTCCACCAGACTGCAGGGACCGGGCATCAGGGTCTCCAAACTATGTCTGGGCTGGGAAAGTGTGGCCTGGCTGGGACAGGAGATACCACGCGCGTGTGTGTGTGTGCGCAAGTCGCCTGAGAGGTAATGTCAAAGGCGCTTTCCTGAGCAGGGTCGCCCTGCACTGTCCAGTCCAGCCCAGCCCCCTCCCGTGCTGGACAGGTCCCTCATAGTCTAGGGCAAGGGAGTGAGGGTCACACTCCAGAGAGCCCTGAGTCCACCCCCACCCTGGGGCCTCTCAGTGCAAATCACAGGTCCACTGGGGGCCAGGTCAGGGCTGCAGAGAGCATGGTCACAGTGCAGGTGGTGGGCGAAGCCGCCCAGCGTGTCTGCCGCTTGGCCCTCACCAGGTCCAGTGCAGCCGTCAGAGGTTCAGCCTCGGTGTCTGTGACCAAGGTGCCCTTAGGGCTGGGGCCAAGAGAGCCCAGTGCTGGAGCCTGACCCAGCAAGTGTGAGACCCTGATGACCTCTTCAGAGTGGAGGGGAGCTGTGCGTGGTGGCAGGCACAGCACTCCAGCGGCTGAGGCAGGAGGATCACTGCCAGTGTGGGCTATACAAGCATACTGTTTGGAAAAACCAACCAAACACACACACACACACACACACACACACACACACACACACACACACACACGTCAGCACTGAAGCATCCCAGCCCTCACCTGGGGCTTTGAAAGGCAGATGCCTGTGTGTCTCCTCCTCCGTGAGTGAGGCAGGTAAACTCAGGAGGGAGCCACCACAGTGAGTGGTCAGTCCCCACTAAGTCAGGCCACGTGTCCCCTCCATGTGAAGGCCCGGCGATGGACCTGTCCGCCTCACTCCTGCAGACCTTGCCGCTCTCCTTGATTTTTTATTCTTTTAAACCTGGTACTAGGGATTGTTTGCTGTTCTTTTTTATTTTTTAAATTTTGAGGCAGGGTCTGGCCTGGAACATGCGATCCTCCTGGCCCACTGTGCCCGGTTCCTGACATGTATGCTATTCAGCAGTGAGAGCGAACATGAGCACGCCTCATTGTATTTCTAGGAGCCTGGCGCACGGTGATGAGTGACCCTGTCGGCTGAGCTTTCTCGGTGGCCGGGTAGCGGGGATTTATTGCCCATGGATGAACTCGATCTTCTCAGGCACTACAGTGAGGGTGCTACTATGAACTCCACTTGAAAAACGGGAAAACAGAGTTGAATCTTCGGCCCAGATGCGTGGCGAGCTACCTGCACTCTTGTGCTCCTGCCAGGTCTAGGGTCCAGCTCGCCAGGACTGTCGGGTTGCTGCTGTTATCTCTCTCCAGCTCCTACTTCTTCCCTGAAGCTGCGGGGTCTTCAGGAATTTGAGCAATTAGGAGACACAAAAGGGCTGACACAAGAGGGAGGAGCTGTGGGAATCACATCTGCCACACCTGCAGAGCAGGTGCCTGAGGCTGCAGGTCTTTAGTGACAAGAGAATTATTTACCTACGGTAAAGGTCACACAGAGCCAGGGTCAGTGGTTAGAGACCACCAAATAACAGGTCTGCTCTAACAGCTCCTTTGCAAACAAATTTCAGGTCTTTCTGCAAATGAAAGAGCCTGGCCCTGGTGCTGGATGCCACCCGCCCTTAAGAATCACCTCAGAGAGCTTTTCAAAAACATTTACGACCTATGCATGGGGTGTATGCCTGTAATCCCAGCACTCTGGGAGGCTGAGACAGGAGGGTTGCACGTTCGAGTCCCATGGAGGCAATTTAGAGATTCTAAAGTTAAAAGTAAGACTGTGGTGGAGGATGTAGCCAGTGGAAAGGCCCTGGGTTCAATTCCCAGCATCACCGCCCCCCCCCCCTGCACTGAACTGCACTCTGGGGCCAAGCCCCAGCAGCTCCCTTTGTTAGGGGTTTCACCTCCAGGGAATCCAGAGGGGAAGCCGAGAACCCTCAGCTTGGTTGGTGCTGCCGCGCTCCTGCTGCCTGCTCAGGCCAGCACTTCGTTTAGCGGAGGCTGTGGGGTGGTTTTTCTTTAGGCAAAGTCTGGGCATTGTACAGCCCGAGGGACAGACCGGAAGGGGACGGAAGGCCACCAAGCCAGCAGCCTCCCGGCTGCCCCACCCTCACCGATGCGGGACCCACGTCACCCGGCTTCTCCTCAGCAGGATGTGAAGCCCAGCCCTGTCGTGAGCGCAGGGCCAGCGGCCTTCGGGGCACCTTGAGCATTGGAAGGGGTCTGTGTGACTCGGTCAGTTAAAACATAAAGCTCTGAAAAAAAAAAAAAAAACATAAAGCTCTGGTGTCAAACAGAGCTACAGGGAAGTGAGGACCAGCAGGGCTCGGACCGTGGGCAGGCCGGGCCGGGGGAAGTGGGAAGCACAGAGCCGGTGTCGTCCTTCGGCACCAGTCTGGGCAGCGGGGACGTGGCGTTAGTGAGGGTCTCCATGAGCAGGATCCCAGCACAGGCCAGAGACGGCAACTCCAGGGGGAGAAGTACCCTCAAAGTGAAAACAGGCCGGGCGTCTCGGCACCCACCTGTCCACCATCCAATGCTTGGGCGGCTGAGGCAGGAGGATCCCGCGAGGACCCCCCTCCCCCACGCCTGAGTCCAGCACTGCTGGGCACGAAGGGTCCTCGTGGGGCTGCTGCCTCTGTCTGGGCCCCGCTGTGCTTCCTGTCTGGGTGCATGCCTGGAAAGGGGAAGATGGGCTGTGCAAGCGCAAAAGAAAGCGGTGGGAGACGGGCCTTAGAACTGTCACAGACCTCTGAACCCCGGGCCAGGTCCTCAGCACTGCGCTGGCTTCATTCTGTGGACGTCCTGTGGTGCGCCAGAGTCAGGTGACCCAGGCAACACTTACAGAGCCAGCCCGGGCTTGGAACGTCCCTTGTTTATTGATTGATTGATTGCTTTTCTGAGCCAGATCTCCCTATATAGCCCAGGCTGGCCTTGAACTCTGGGGATCCTCCTGCCTCAGCCTCCTGAGTGCTGAGATCCTGGGTGTGCGCCACCACACCCGGCTCTGGCCCTTCCTGATGACCTGTGGCTCTTGCGTGCCAACCCTTCCATGGTGGCCTCTGTGCATGCGCGTGGCGTGGCCCGCGCTGGGCAGCGTTTCCGCGTGGCGTGCTGCACCCCGCGCAGGCGCGATGCTCACACCCGGTGCTCCGGTCTTCAGGGAATGCCAGTCCTCATTTCTTCCAGTCTGATTTACCAACTCCACCACCGCACTGCGGAGTTCAATGCAAAGTTGAATCACATTAAAATTGAGATTTTAAAAATCAAAAGTAGTTAAATATTTGCAGAAATAGATAAACCCAAGCCAGGCCTGGTGGCACACTCCTGGAACCCCAGCACTTGGGAGGCTGAGGCAGGAGGATCGCCACAAGTTTGAGGTTTGTCTGGACTACACAGATCCTGTCTCACAAAAAGAAAAGAAAAACACCTGCACCTTGTTTCGGTCACTTTTCTCATTACTGGGACAAAATACCCAACAACCACAACTAAAGGAGGCAGGGTCATGGGGGCCCGTGTCTGAACTATACCGACCTGCACGGTGGAGGGTGCCGCGGAGGAGAGACGCTCGCCTCATGGAAGGCAGGAAGTGGGATCGAGGAGGAAGAAGCCCGACGGCGCAGGCCCCAGCGGCCCCTTCCCACCAGTCTCCAGCTCCTGGAGCCCAGGCCCCCGTGACCTTCCGCAGCCCTGAGCGCCTGAAGCCGGAGGAAACCGAGACGTAGCCAAGGCAACTGCTCCTAAATTCAGCAGGAACCTCAGGTCCCCCAGCAGGACCTTGGAAAACAGCAAAGCCTGCAGGTTCGAAGTTCCTGAAGTCAAAGCTTACAACACAGTTAGCATCCTCAGGCCGGGGATTAGCTCAGCTGGCGAGAGTGAGGTCCTGAGTTCGAGTCCCATAACTGGAAAAACGAGGGGAGCCTCATGGGCGGGGCGGGGTCTGACTGAAGACCAAAACCAGAGGAGAGGGGCGGGGAGGGGGGGAGGGAGAGGGGAGGCCGGGGGGAGGGGAAGGGGAGGAGGGGGGGGGAGGAGGGGAGGACAGACAGCCGGAAACCGCCACACGTCATGGAATTCCCAGCCCCCCGCCGCCGCCCACCGCTGGCTTACAGACCTGAGCGTTAGAGCCAGGACGGCGAAGCACAAGAAGACCAGGCCGGGCTCCGATTTCTTGGCAAGGAAACTTGGCATCCAGCGAGATCCCATCTCAGAATAAAATGTAACCGGAGGGGCGCGGCTTAGTGCGAAGGCCCTGGGCTTGTGCATAGGTGCGACAAGAGGACAGAAAGCCTGGGCGACAGGCCACGGGCCTGAGCGACTGGGAACACGGAGCACTGTTGGTGGCCACGGACAATGGCCCCGCCACTGTGGAAACGGCACGCGAGTCCTCAAACAGTGAAGCACACGGTTACCCTCTGGGTGGCCGTCCCCCCCCCCCCCCCCCCCGAGCACACACCCCGAAGAGTGTGGGTCGTTTCCAAGCCAGGTTGACACCCCGGGACTCACGGCATCGCCGCGATAGCGGTCACGTGGAAGCAGCCCAAGGGCCCAGAGGAAGGAGCCAATAGGGTCTGCATGCTCAGTGGAATAGCATGCAGCCCTGAGAAGGAAAGGACTTCTGGCGTGGGCTATCACCGCTGTGAGCCACCATGACGTTGTGCCCCCAAGAGGAGCCTGGCCTGGCGCATGGGCATGGGCTGCTCTTCCCGGAGCAGCTGCAGAGGTGAAGTCCTAGCGTCCAGTGTGGACGTGGCCACCCAGGCCGGGCGGGTGAATCAGGGAGGCGCGTTCCGTGCCTACAGCGCTCCCAGCGGAGTTAGTGAGGGCGGAGGGGCGTGCGCTAGGGATGTTGTGCTCGCCTCATGCTATTCACCTAAAAGTGATTAAGACAACAAATTCTGTAATATGGCCAGGGATTTAGCTCAGCCGTGTAAGTGCTCGCCTGGCAAGCGCAAGGTCGCGAGTTTGATCCCCAGTACCAAAAAAAGAAAAAAAAAATTGTGTAATAGTTTTATAACAATATTGAAAACTATTAAAAGTGAATATTAAATTTTAAAAAAAAGTTTGGGAGTCGGGGATTGAACTCAAAGGCATAAGCACCAGCCTGGCAAGTGCAAGTGAGTTCGATCCCTGGTACTGGGATTTAAAAAAAAAAACAAACTTAAAAGACATGGTGGTACATGCCTATAATCCCAGCACTGAGGCAGGAGAATTACTGCGAGTCCAAGGCCAGCCTGAACTGCAGAGTGAAACTCTGTCTCAAAACAAAAAAACAAACACACAAAAAAATTAAATGGCAAATGTATGTGCTCCAACAGAATGTGGAAGAGGGAGGTTGTTCTTTGATTAAAAGTAGCAATAAATGGCATCCGTGATCTGCCCAAAGCTGGGCGAAGAGGCACAGGCTTATAATTTCAGCACTCAGGAGGCTGAGGCAGGAGGATCACCATGCGTTTCAGGCCAGCCTGACCTACATATCGAGACCCTGTCTCAAAAAGGCAAAACTAACACACACACACACACACACACACAGTCTGCCAGTGGAGCCAGGTTGGGCTCATGTTTTTCTTGGCTTCCTGGGAGGGGATTTCATCCTGGCCTTAAACCCAGTTCCAGAAGCAAGGTGTCCACTGCGCAGGAAATGGCTCTGCCTCAGTGTCCCTGCTAGGAGCTGGCAGGTGGGCTGGGAAGGAGGGACGTCGGAGTGGCCAGGGCAGCGAGCGGGGAGGCCGACGGCAGCCCGGGCGTGGGGACCAGCCTCGGCCTTGGCATCCGGGTCCCACCGCCGAGCCTCCAGCCGGGTGGAGAACATCGGGCAGCTGCGCCTGTACCAAGCGGGGCGCCTCCCTCTCACACCGCGCCCCTGTGTGCGTGGTTCCCAGCCGACCAGCAGCTCCACACGGGGCCCGCCGTCCTTGGGCCTGGGACCTGCGGTACGTCTGTTTTCCTGTTTATTTACTGTATGTTCCTTTGGGGTTTTGAGACAGGGAATCACTGTGCAGCTCAGGCTGGCTCCCCATCACCGCAGTCCTCCTGCCTCAGCCTCCTGAGTGCCTTGGCCACCACCCTGGCCATGCAGCCAGGGCTTGGACAGTGGAGAGGCACTGGCCCGGGGCTGCCGCAGCCTCGCACCCGCCCAAATATAAGCCTCCTGCCAAACCTGAGCAGCCACAGAGCCCACTCGGGGGCACCCTACCTGCAGGTTTAAGTGGCCACCGCCGGGCCCAGCGCCCAGCTGCGATTACAGTCATTAGCCAGCGTCGCCTGCCCCTTTAATGAGGCGGCCTAGGCCAGAGTAAACGGAGCCTCAGCACTGATTTCATGGGCACAAAGAGAGGCCAGTCCTCCTCCTCCCCCTCCGCTTCTCCTCCTCCGCTGAGTTTATTTTGCTGCCCGAAGTGTGCAGAAAGTAAACACGGGCCTGTTTGGATTCCACCCCTGGGTTCCTCCATTCCTCCAGCCCAGCCCAGGAGTCCCCAGCCCAGTGGGTGAGCAGAGCCCCGAGAAGGCCAGCAGAACAGCAGAGCAAGCTGGGCAGGGCACGCGCTGGCCTCTTTCCAGCTGCTTTGTGTTCCTGCAGGAAGGTAAACAGTTTTGAAATTCATGTTAAATTTTAGCTCTGCAGGCATTCGGGGCATTGAAAGCAGTGTCTCTCTCAGCAGAGACACGTTTCCCACGGTGCAGCCCTTTCTCACAGGGACTGAGAACAAGAATGTGAGAATTTCTGAAGGAAAGAGAAATAAATAAATAAAGCAAATATCAGAGGCTTTAAAAATTCCTGTGCAAGCCAGGAGTGGTGGCGCACCGCCGTCATTCCAGCACGCAGAAGGCTGAGGCAGGATGACTGCCACCAGCTTCAAGCCAGCTGTGCTACACAGTGAGTTCCAGACCAGCCCGCACTACAGAAGGAGACCCTGTCCCGAGCTTCGCCTTCCACAAAACATATAGATGCATAGAAACAAAAGCCAAAGCTGTAATGCCACCTCTCGGGAGGCTGAGGCAGGAGGATCACGTGAGTTCAAAGCCAGCCTGAGCTGGGCTTGGGACCCTATCTCAGAACCAAACTAAACCAAACAACAACCTAGGACCCTCAGCCTACGAGACTCAGCACCTTAGCTGGCCAAGGAGAGCAGTCTGCGGGGGAGGGGGCCCTCAGGGCACGGGGTCCCTCCCTGGGCCAGCCAGCTCGTCCCTGGAGACACCACTGGGCCTGGTGGACAGGAGGTGGACAGACCGCTCGTGGCCTGGCTGTTGCCCGTCTGTCTGTGAGGACAGTAGTGTCTCCTGGCTTCCTCCAAATGTGGTTTTGAGGCCAAAATGTGACGAAATTATGCACAGAAGTGTCAGTGGCTGGTGGCTAGGTTAGGAGCAATCACTGGGCCCTTTCCTTCAGCAACGATTGTTAATTCTATTATTTTCCAGGAAAAAACAATTAGGAGATAAGAAACCCTTAAACCTCTATCAGGAAACTTTAAGACACCCTAGCTTGATAGGCTCTTTAAAAGGGACTTTATTTGATCAATGCATTAATTGATTCTGGGGATTGAAGCCAAAGCCTTTACACTGAGCTACATCCCCAAGTCTTTTGTAACTTTAAGTTTTGAGACAGAATCATGCTAAGTTACTAAATTGCTCAGGCAAAGCCTGAACTTGTGATCTTTCTGCCTCAGCCTCCCAGGATTATAGACATTTATCACCATGCCTCACTTGGGGTTTTATAGTGGATTAATTATCACTCCAACTTCCATTTATATCTAGAGTTTCCTCTAATGCAGGGCAAATACAGCAATATCCTCCCCCCAAAATCTGTAAGCCCTGCCCTATTTACCATTTTCAAAAATGGTTCTTTTTTTTTTTCCTTGTCTGAGTTTCTCACATCAACAAAAATCCTTGAAACTTCTCTTTGGCAGAAACTCTAAAAAAACATCAACGTGGCCAGGGGTTTAGCTCAGGCTGCTTGGCCAACTCGAGGGCGTGTAAGTTCGATGCCTGGCACCAGAAAACAAAAACATCGGAGCTATCTGAACCTGTAAGTGAGTGGCCCGCAAATAAAGGCTTGAGAACCCGTACTGTTCTCTGGTTGTGAAGTTGCACAGCCCATGCACCCGGAAAGCTGGAGCGGAGTGGGGGTGGCGGCTCTGTCTGCGTGGCAGGCAGCTGGCCACGCCACCCTGAGAGGGCTGCCAAGGCCTGGCTGCCTCTGCCACCAAACCTGTTTGGACCTGTGGTTCGCTTGGAAGTTACACAAGCCAAGCGTGAGTGTGAGAACAGAGGACTGCTGCGTCTGTGCAAACAAAGGCAAAGTCTTCTCGAGTCTTCAGGAGGACTCAAGGCAGGCGAGCCTTGATTTACTTCTTCCTAACAGACACGGCCAGGCCATGCAGCCTGGCTGGCCTCACACTCACAGCAGTCCTCCTGTGATGGGATCACAGGCGTGTGCCCCGGACTGGCTGAGCCAAGACTAATAACCAAGCGTCCCGCGCCCCTGGATGTCCTGGCTTTGCTTCCGTGTCCCAGGCAGCGGCCTCTGGGGGGGTCGCTGAGGCCATCAGATCACAGCTGCACCCCAGACGCCCCCTCTGGGGTTGGACTCTCAAGCTAAGGGATGGCGAATGTGTGATGCTGCCTGCAGTTGGCCACGGCTGATGCTGCTACCAAGGGTGGGGAGCGGCCCGCTGCGGGGCCACACACCTGTGAGCCTGGCACTCTGGAGGCTGAGGCAGGAGGATCGCTAGTTTGACCCCAACCTGGGAAACTTAGCAATTTAGTGAGACCCTGTCTCAAAATGAGGAATGAAAAGGGAAGGTAGCTGGGTGGCACGGGCCTGGGTTTAGTCCCCGCAGTGACAGTAAATAAGTCAAACCCGTCTCTAGTTAAAGTAGCTGCAGCCAGTCTCTTCCAATTGTAACTGAAAACCCCAAAGGACTCAGCCCACAGCAACCTCTTAACACGCGTGTGTGCGTGGACTCACACGTGTGTGTTGCCCAGAAGGAGGTGGGCTCTGTGTTTCCATGATGACTCTGACCAGCACCTGTCTGGTTCCCCCCATCACTCCCTCTTCCATCCAGTGGTGGATCGTGGATCGGGGTGCAGAACAAAGCCCCAGTGGGTGTGGACGGTGAGCCCAGCCCCTCCCAGTCAGTATCCCCAGGAGTGCCGGGATCCCCGAGGTCCCTCCCAACCCGACCCTGGCTACCCCGGCCTGAGCCCAGCCCTAAGGCCCTGTCCCTGAGACCCGCACGTGGGCACAGGGAGAGACAGCCCTGGACTGACCTGGGCCCGCAGGGTCATTGTCACCCCCAGGGACTCACCATGGAGGAGGAGCGGGCGGCGGAGAGGGGTTTCCCCCACTGCAGGACACGCAGGCCACTGCCAAGGCCCTCCCTGGCCCTGCCCTCCGCCCTCCCACACCTCTCCCTGTCCTGTGACCCAGCTGAGCCCCGGGTACCCAGTCCCATCGCCCCACAGGCGGCTGTGACTTCTCTGACCTGCTCCAGGCCCAGTCGTCAGCCCTGGGCCACCGAGCCAGGTTCCGAGTGGTTTGTGTTTGGGCCGTGACTTCCGGGCACTTGGTGGCCGCACTGCCACACCAGGCAGCTTTGGATTACAGGACCCTGGACGTGGGCTACCCGGCCACCAGAGATGGGACCCGGGGTCACGCTGACCCCTCACTCCTCCCAGGAACCCCATGGTGGCCAGGGTGGGCACATGCTGCCCACTCCCAGGACCAAGCGTCCCAAGGACGCTGCCTTCCCCGTGGGGTCGCCAAGCTGAGACTCCTGTGTCCCAAACCCAGTCATGAGCAGCGCTCACTGCCACCACCGCCATCGGGGCGGCTTTCTGAGTCCGTTTCTTTGTTCGTTTCTATGGGGTTTTTGAGATAAGGCCTCACTATGTAGCCCAGGCTGGCCGTGATCTTCCTGCCTCAGCCCCCGAATCTGGATGACAGCCATGTGCCACCAGCCACCACATCGCGTGGTGATTTGAAACTTTGGAAAGATAAACTGGATGTGCATTCCTAGTTCCCTTCATTCTCATGAACAAAATCTGCCTGCAGATTTCTCCCCCAGAGATCTGTCTGTCCGAGGAGCGGACCTGAGCGGATGGACGGCTGGGGCCTCCTACAGCTCCCTGAGGTCCCCACGCCACATCACAGCAGCACCTGTGCCATCGCCGTGACCTTTGGCCTTTATTGCTTCTCACCTTGTTTAGGAGCTGGATCCCACAAAAGCGCAGGCCCTCGGGGCGGGGTCCTCCCTCAGGGTCACCCGGACTTTTCTTCTCTCTGTGGCTCTGTGTTCAGCCCGTTGAGTCACTTTCCCAGCCCACTCGGGGAAGGTGGCTTTGGCTGCAGCAGAGTTTTGTAAATGCTTCCTCTGTGACACCTTTCCGTGCCCTGGGTCAGGGTTATTTATCACTGTGCTGTGTGTGTGTTGCTGCTGTTGTGATTTTGTGGCAGTGGGGATTGAACTTCTCACTGAGCCAGGTCCCCACCCTTTTCCTGATTCTTAATTTTGAGACAGGGTCTCACTGGGTTGCCCAGGCTGGGTAATCTCCTGCCTCGGCCTCCCAGAGCCTGGGTTTGCAGGTGTCGGGGTGCCACGCCTGGCCCATCACTGTGTTTCTGGGGCAGCCTGTCCTCACCCCAGGCCCACAAGGTCAGCCTCCCACATTGGTCCATTGACCCTCCTTCTTGGTATGATCCTTAGCAGATTAATTAGCATCCTTTAACAGGACAATAGTCTTCACGTTGTCAGAAACAGGGTCTCTTGCCATTCTTGGGCCCCCACTGCCTCCCCTGCCAATGATGAAGATGCAGATGAGAAAAAAGAAGTGTGGTCACCCTTGGCAGCTGCCCCCATTCAGAGGACAGTGGAGACAGAGTCCCTGGAGATCATCACCAACTTTGTCCATCAACCTGAGGGCCCAGGGCTGAGTGACCTTTCAACTTTTTAATAAAGAGGATGAACTCAATCTTTCCCATGAAATTTTTCTTTAAAAATATATCAAGTTTTAAAAGAAATCTGAGCATAATGATGGGATACACTCTTGGGGACAGAACTCCCTCCCCGGGCCCACAAAGGCTGCTGGAGTGCCTGCCATCAGGGACCGCAGGGGATGGCAGTGGTCTGGCAGAGCTGGCCCCTGCACGGTGCAGTCTTGGTGGCGGCAGAAGCTGAGGCCCCTCCTGGGAACAGGGGACAGCGCCTCCCAGTCAGGGCCGGCCTGGAGGGAAGGTGGGGGTGGGGCTGCGCGGGGATCGGTTTGCATTTTGCCTGGGGCGCCCCAGGCAGCCGGTGACTCATCAGCCCTTTCTCCCAGATTCCGAGAGCGGGTGAATTCCACTCGGAGACTTTCTTTCCTTCCCTCCTACCTGGCCCATTCCCACCGATTCTGTTTTGTTTATTTATTTTGCAGCACCGGGGCTGGGGCCTGGGGCCTCTCACAGGCTGGGCAAGTGCTGGCCCGGAGCCGGACCCGAACCCCGCGGTGGGACAGCTGAGACCCCAAAGCACAATCAGTCACACCAGAGAGGCAAACCATGGCACAAAGGTAGCAGCCAGGAAGATCGAGGAAGGCTCCAGCTCGTTTGGGAGGAACAGAAGAATCAAAGAATCCAGAACAAAAAACCACTTTTTATGGAAGCACACAGGATACTTCCAGCCCCGCCCTGACTCTGCTGGACACGAAAAAGACACTGTCCCCTCCTGCGTTTAATGTTTATAGCCATTTGTTTTACTAAGTTGTATTCAAGACAAACTTGATTGTTTTATTTATGAAATGGGGTCTCACTGTGCATTTCAGACTGGCTTTGAACTCCCTATGTAGCCCAGGTTGGCCTCTAACTCAGAGAGATCCTCCTGCCTCAGCCTCTGGGGTGCTGGGGTGACAGGCATGTGCTACCACACCAGCCTTCTTTTAAACTTTAAAAACTACCCACAATCCCATCTGTCTGGTATGGCTGCCTCCCATCTGGTGCTATGATTAGTCTTCAATTAGTTTTCCCAAAAGCCAAGGTCTGTGGCTACATTTTAAGCAGTAAAACCCAAGAGTATCACTAACATCTAACATTCCAGCAGCAGCCTCAAGAGATTTCCAAGATGCTATCTGGCCCTAGAGTCAAGGACCAGGTGTGGTGGTGTGTACCTCTCATCTCTGGGAGGCTGAGGCGAGAGGCTTCCAAGTTCCAGCCCAACCAGAGAAACCTAAAAACATAGAGGGCCCTACAAAATAAGACATTTTAAAGGGAGGTAGGCTCAGGATATAGCTCAGTGCAAAGGGCCTGAGTTCAAGTCCCAGTACAGAAAAGAGAAGGGAAGGGAAGGAGAAGCATCGGACATGGGAAGCGTTCATGGCTTGGGAGACCTTCTTCCAATGGGCCACACCTGAACCCATGACCGCCCCTCCTGCCTGGCAAGGACACCTGGTTGTAGTCACCTCTGCTCCTACTAAAAACCCACCGAGGCCAGCACTGAACTCTGCTGCCCCTAACCCCTGACAGACGGAGAAGGGTGTGGCCAGCACATGTCCCAGGGACCCGTCCAGGACCTGCAGCGCAGCCCAGAAGGTCCAGGCTCCCTTCCAGGGCCCCCAGGGAAGCAGCACCCCAGGGCACGCTGGGAAGGCAGAGGAAGCTGACCACTGTGTCCACGGAAGCTGCAGGCGCTGCCTGCCGTCCAGGGCTCTGGCTGCAGCTCTGTCATGACCCTCGGCCTGCGTCCTAGGTTGTCCACACAGCTGCCACCTCTGTTTTTGGTCCGTTTCACTTTCAGGTCCTTCCAAATACCTCGCTGGCCTTTTTGACCCATCCGTCAAGTTTTATTTGTGTTTTATGCTTTTAGTCATACTTGTGACCTGGTCGTCCCAAATTTGGACAAGAACACTTCTGTCCATCTGTGGCCTCAGACAAAGGCCACACCAGGCGGGCAGCACCCCCGTGGGGTGGGGACTCCCTTCGTGGGATGGGCCAGGGCTGTACTTGGTCCGAGCACAGAGGTCTTGACGGTGGTGAGGCTGCTTACGTGTCCTAGGCAATCGGAGGTTTTCAGACACAGCCTGGGCTGTCTCACTCTGCTGGGTTGTCTGAATGTCTGTCCCTGGTTGAGACTTTTGAAGACATCAGGAGATCAACAGTACGCACGCCTCATTAACAATCTCCGGGATACCGTGTGCCGGGAGCCCGCCGTGGTCTCTGGCTTCCCATCCTGGCATTTCCTCCTGTGTAAATGTCATCTTGCTTGGTTTATTTATAGCTCCTCAGACCATGAGAGCAGTAGCAGAAGCTCCCAAACGAGCAGAGAAGCAGGGATGCCCACGAGGCCACGAGAGGAAGGGTGACAGCCCGCACCCCCGTGCAGCCCCGCCACCACCCTCCCGCTCTGCTGGGTTTGTGTTGTTTTTGTCAAAATCCTGTGTGCAATACCTTTCCTCCGGGAGGCCTCCTGGAAAGTCTCCCATGGTAAAGGATAGCGTCACGCCGGAGGGTCGCAGGCAGGGAGGGTGGGCTTTGGAAGGTGCAAATCAAGGCCCGGCTGCTGACATCCCCAAAGTGAAGGTCCAGTGTGTCCTTCGCACCGTGGAGCACCTCGCCTTGCAGGATCTCTGCTGGCTTTTGCTCGTCTCCACTTCTGTACTTGTTGGGACATCAGCTTTTTTCAACTCTTGGGAAAGGGACCCGGGACCTCACAGAACATGGGTCCAGCCCCAGCGAGGTGAAGCAACCGTGGCCCTCCGTGTATCCATGACTGTTGTACTTGCCCAGTAGTGCCCCTCGACAGTGGCCAGTCCACGCTCACGACGGCGTTCACTGGTGGCTCGGCCGCTGTCTCTGTCCATCAGCTCCCGCCGTGGGCTGGGGTGGAATGGGACAGGGTCTTCCCACGCGTGAGTCAGGTCTAGGGTGAGAGAAGGTCAGAGGGCGAAGGCCCCGAGAGGAGACGAGATGTGGGCGCCTGGTGCTAAGAAGCCTGGCCCGGCCGGAGAGAGCAGGGGAGGTCACCCTGTGGGACAGATGGCCGCGTCTGAGCCGAGGGGGCTGCGAGCCACACAGGTGGGAGCAGAGAGCAGAAGACATGAGAAGAGCCTGGGAGGGGAAGACCATGGGAGAGAGAGCACGGGAGAGGCTTTGGGCATGATTTTTAATTTCTTAATTATATTTTGATCAAAGCTGTTTATCCAGCCAGACATAGTGGCGCATGCCTGTAATCCCAGCCCTCAGGAGGCTGAGGCAGGAGGACTATCAAAACAACAACCACAAAAACCCACACTTACATGCACAAAACCCCAACTGTGTCTATGTGTGTGTGCACAGTGGTGGCGAGCTTGTAGCCTGCGTGCTGCAGCGGGCAGTGGGTGATGCGTGCACGCTCTAAAAGGCTCCCGTCACTGCTAAACACTACGTATGACGTATGTGTAGGAAAGTAGTTTCAGCTGAATAATTCCACCGAGTAAAGATACAGAAAACAATCCTGACTAACATTGAAATGTGCGTACCAGTCCGTGGCTCATTCTATCCAGCTTTTTCTTTTTCGTAGTGCTGAGGATCAAACCCAGGGCCTCACGCATGCTAGGCAGAGTCTGTACCACTGAGCTACATCCCCAGCCTCTTTTCCTATGTTTTTTTATTTTTGAGACAGGATCTTGCTACACAGCTGAGGCTGGCCTTCAACTCAACATCCTCCCGCCTCAGCCTCCTGCAGTGGGGTGTCTGCCGACACAAACCAGCTGCACGGGACTTCCTACTCGGTCGGAAGTTCCAGCAGCCTGAAGCTTCCTAACACGTTTATGCTGTCAGACTTTTTTCCCAGCGCTAGGAAGAGGACCCAAGCGCGTCCTAAGCAAACACTCACTGCTGGGCTCCACCACCCGCTTCTCATTCTGACGCTGACCGCTTCCTTCCTCTGTGAGCAGCTTCTCCTGATTTTCATTTGACTCCTTAAACAGCTCAGTCCAGAAATTTCATAATTTCATCAATGTGTGTCTTTTTAGAATTCACGGTTAAGAACTAAGTGGGTCCTATCAATCAGAAGTCTCATAACAGTTAATATGTTAGCAATAATAATATGTTAATGTCATATTTTATCTTTTTTCTGATAACTTGCCGCAGTGGGGTGTGCGTGTGTGAGTGTGTGTGTGTGTGTGTTGCTGGGGGATGAACCCAGGGCCTTCACACTGAGCTACATCTCCTTTTTCATTTTTTAAAATTCTTTTTTAAAATTTGAGACAAGGGTGCTGGGAAACCAAGCAACCAGCTCAACTCCCTGGTAAGCAGCTGTGGTGTGGCAGGCTGCAGCCCCTCCACGGGGAGAACCACCAGTGTCTCCTGAGACCTGCACCATGTTGGAACTTAGGGTGCTGGGAGACCAAGCAACCAGCCCGCCTCCCTGCTAAGTGGTAGCGAGCCTACCAGTGCACCTCCCCTGCCCCCCGTTAGCAAATGGGAGACAGAGGTCTGAGCATCTCTTGGGAGGTTGACCATAGCAAATAAGGGGGATTTCCTTCTACCATCTCTCTGAAGGCAAATATTTTTACCACTCTTCTGCTTTATTCTGATTAATGGTATTGCTCTATTTAATACTCTGTTTTGATAGGTTTTATGATGTTCTGTATTAGGTTTGATTTTGCTATACCTGATTGAAAGAACAACTATTGTGAAGATAACGAGTTATACTTTGGTGCCTATTACTGTTATCCTGGTAACCTGCTGTGAAGTTCTGTACCAATTTCACTGCACTGTCTTGATTGACTTTGTTCCATCTTGTTCTGTTATATTTTACTACCTTCAAAATAATTTTTAAAAAATTTTGAGACAAGATCTTGCTAAATCACCCGGGCCAGGCTTGAACTTGGGGTCTCCTCTCTGGTCTTGGATGACAGGTTTGCGACACTGTGCCCAGCTTTCGATGCTGATTGTAAACATCTTTTTTTATTATCCATTTCCCTGTGTTTTTGTTCTTGCTAGATGTCCTAGGTTCAGTCTTTAAATGTCCCCGAAGGACTCTGTTTAAGCCTGCATATTGTTCATATTTCTAGGCTCCTTCTTGTCTGAAATTTATTTTATGGCTTTTCAAGAGCATATTATTCTTGTCTGGGGATGTGGTACCTTCTAACATATTAATTATGTGATCTCTACCCCGTATCTCTGGATGATCTGGGGGTTTTTTACTCTTTTTTATTGGACACTGGCTTGGATCTTGGGCCTACATTTTGGAGGCATTTTGGAATGTCTGTGTTCCCTGTCCTCGTGTTATCTTTCAGAATGTGGAGGAAAACGTTTATCAAGAACTCAGTGTGATGGGGCCAAGGCTCTTTTGCAAGGAGACGTCGTGGAAATTAGGCTTCTCCTCCCCCGCCCCCTCCCTGTGTCTGATCGGGAAACACCCACAGGTCTGTGGGATCTGCGGACTTCTCCCGGGACCTGATCCATTCCGAGAAAGAAAGGAAGAGCCTCTGATCTCCGCCCGGGGAGACATGGACCACGCGGCCTGGCTCCCGGCTCAGAACCTGGTGGAGGAAGGGGCCACGACGGCTCCGGCAGCCCGGACCTCTCCCCCGGGCTGTCCCCGGAGACCCGCTGTCCCGTCCTGCTGCTTCCTTGTGCCGTGTGCCCATCGGCCATCGTCCGCTTCACTTCAACTCAGTGCATTCTGTTTTCCGCCTGCACGGGGAAGGGATGTCTTTGGGGCTGAATTGTGTCCCCCTAAATTCACAAGTTCAAGCCCAAATCTCTAGTAAGCTGGACCAGTGAGGGTGGACCGGTGTGTATTTGGAGAGGGAGCCTTGCAAGATGGAACTAAGGTAAGCTGAGGTCATAGCAGGGCCTGGGCCTGTGCCTGGTGTTCGCACGTCGCCCCTGGGCACACCAAGGAGACACAGTCAGATGGTCACCCAGCAGCAGGGAGAGACGGATAGAGGCTGCATTCTCTCGCCCAGACTGGGAGAAGACACCTTCCTGCTGTTAAGGCACGAGGTTTCTGGCCTTCTGCGGAGGCAGCCCTGGAAAAAAGAAGTCACAGTGGAGCTGGGAACCCTGGGGCCTAACAACGTCTTATGTTGATTTATTTATTTTTATGGTACAGGAACTGCTGAGCTCATCTTCAGCCCTTTTTAAATTTTTACTTTGAGTTATGGTCTCTGTAAGTTCCCCAGGCTGGTCTCAAATCTGAGCTCCTCCTGCCTCAGCTTCCCACGTAGCTGGGATCACTGGCATGTGCCTCTGTGCTGAGAACTTAATAGCTTTTAGTTTGTTTTACTTTTTTGGTGCTGGGGATTGAACCTAGGGCGTCAGGCGCCCTAAGCATGTGCTCTGCCCTAGCCCTAATGAACTGCTTTGTACTGAGCTTTCCAGCAATCACCCGGACCCAGCCCATAGCCACTTCCCAGTTTCTGAACGTTGTTACCTTTGGTCTTCTCCTTTCCTCTCAGGAAGGAGCAGAGGGAAAGACACACATGACGCTGTTTTAAATTGCTGTTGTTATGGTCATTACCATTATTTACTGCACTGGGGTTTGAACCCAGGGCCTTACGCATGTTGGGCAAATGCTCTACCACTAGGCCACACCCCAGCCTGGAACTGTGCACTCTGTTGGAGGATTATAACCGCAGCTCCTCGGCATGAAATGTGGGGACTTGAGTGGCGGCTGGCTGGGCAGGCGTCCTCAGGCTGCTGGGAAACAGTCTCATGCTCAGCAAGCAATCCCGATGTTCATTTCTAACTCAGACACCCAGGTTCATTTTCCTCTTCCCAAGTTTCCTTCCTGAAGACAGCAGCTGACCTAACAGCCGGGTTTCTATAGTGCGGGATATCTAGGAACGGTCGTGCTGTCCATCCGAGGTTCACAGCTGCGGGGCCCTGAATGCAGAACCAGGGAGCACGGCAGCAGGCAGCAGATAGACTCAATAGGCTCCATCTTCAGCCCTCGGACCTGAAGCCTCCCACCCAGATGCCCCCAAAGGGCACCCTTGCCGCCTCTCACCACGGCATCAGACGCCAACCTTCCCACGGAGTGACAGGGACATCAGCCATCTTGATGGGCGTTAAGGGTCCCATTCCTTAAGCGATCCTGGAAATTAAAACTGTCTGTGCTCCTTAGGGATTTAATTAAACTATTTTAATCTCATATAAGAATTCAGTCTAAAAACAACAGGATCTTGTTACTGGCTTTTGTGTGAACATCTGTTTTTTGTCGCTGTCTCCTAAAATGAGCATCCCACTCTACACCAAGCCGACACTGTTGAGCCCAAGAGAGACCCATTGTGAGACTGCAGGCACACTTGCTGGAGGTGCCCAGTGCTCCGGGTAAGGGCAGTGGTCAGCCATTGATAAATAGTGGTCTGAGCGGCAGAAACTTTCCTATTTACGCACAACCCATCTGCCAAAGGAACCAAAACTACAGGTATCAGAGGTAACTTCCCGACTGATTGTTAAATGGCCTGCTGGCACCTTCTCCATCACTAACCGAACCCATCCACGTACCAGCGGTTGACCGGTAAGGGGAACACTGTACCGTCAAATCTAAGTTGAGTTATTAGACGTTAGAGAGGAAGAAAGGGGGTGTGACCATTACAGGCCAATGAAAGGAACAGTCTGCTCACACACACTGGTTCAGTTTGCACAAACCAATGTGGGACAGTTTGGTAAAAGCCCTCAGGTAATACTGGAGATAGACTTCGGATTGAAGATGGTTTATGTTCCTTCTCCCTTAAGGAGTGAGCCTAAAAGGAACCCTGAGGGAAGAGGGGTGGGAGCAGAGTCAGCAGCAGACCTGATTCCGCACAGCTCTGGAAGCTGGGGTGGACGGCGACAAGGACCAGAAGGACCCTGGTTCAGAGCTCCAACAGAGAGGCTGGGGATTTAGCTCAGCAGCGTAAGCGCCTGCCTTGTAAGCATGCGGTTGTGAGTTCGGTACCAATTAAAAAAAAAAAAAAAACTACAGTGGAAGCTGCACTGTGCTATGGCCGGGGCTGGGGCCAGGGTGACCTGGGCCTGGGGATGCCAGAGATGGCCCCACGGGAGCACACGGGGAGCCCAGGATCCAGGGACGGTGAGGGGAGGAAAGGGCACTGGGCTGGGCCCACAGCAGCCTTTGAAGGTGTTGGGTCTGAGGTCTCTCAGCAGAGCCGTCTGTAGACTTTCTCTCCTGGTTCACAGGTGTGAAGCGTGCAGGGCACTGGCTGCCTGGTGGCCACGTGAGACCCGCAAGGCACTTTTCTCAGAAGAGGCCAAAGCAGGATACCTGGTCCTGACCCTCGGGGTCACATGGGCTGCCCATGGCTGGTTTCCCCATCATGGTCTCCCCAGAGCTTCCCGTGACCCCCTTCTGACTTGTGAATGGGGTGTGAGCACCAGTGTGACGGCTCTAAAATGAACATGGGGCAGAGGAAGACGGGGAAGCCAAGCCAAAGCAGGAAAGGCCCTGGGAGGGTTGCAAAAGGCGGGCAGCTCCCACATAATCCTGCTAATTGGGATGGAACTGAAAACATGGAAACTGGCCTTAAAATGAGATGAGCTGAGCAGCCAGTAGAAAAATGTCCTCCAAAACAGAACAAAAGATACATGCCAGCTGTGGTGGGGCATGTCTGTAATCCCAGCTCCCAGGAAGCTGAGGCAAGACCATCACTGCAAGCACGGGACCAGCCTGGAATACATAATGAGTCCAAGGTCAGCTGGAACTGCATTGAGAGACCGTCTCTCTCTCTCTCTCTCTCTCTCTCTCTCTCTGTCTCTCTCTCACACAGACACACACACACAGTCATGCACAGGGCATGCAACTCAATGGTAGAATACTTGCCAAGCATGTTTGAGCTCTTAGGTTCAACACCTAGTACCAAAAAAAATTAAATAATGCAGAAGAGATGTTCAATAGGAAAGAAAAGATAAGAGTATTCTAAGAGTGAACCAGAAGATCCACTAGTCAACTAAGAGGTGTTTTAAAAGGTAATACAAGAATAAACAATAATTAAGGAGTCGCTGTTTCTGCAGCAGTGTTCTAAGTAGCTCAGATGTACTGATAAGTAATAACTATTATGATTCCCATTTTATAGATAAAGCTGAAGCACAGCAAAATTAAACAACTTGTCCATGTGCAGTCAGAGTGGAGAGCTGGGATTTGGACTCGGGTCCTTTGCTACCCTGCCCACTGCCCAACTAGATGAGGAGGAAACCAGTAAACGCATTTCAGTTTCCCGAGCCGGGCACACGCAGGCAGCCCACTGAGCGCCCAGCGTGATGACTACGTGAGCACCTTCGTTCACGAGGGTCCCCGATGTGTCACAGAGCTAGAGAAAAAGACCCTATGCAAGTTTCCAGAGAGGAAGATTCCCAAAGGACAGGAACCCAGATGACACTGGGATCCTCAGCAGGAACACTGAAAGCTAGGGGACAAAAAAAGGATTTTCTACGAGACGATGGATAAAAATTCTCTATGTAGAGTTCTGTACTTGGTCCAGCTCCCCACAGAAAGTAAAGGCTGGTGGGTTGTGGGTGTGGCCTCGTGGTAGTGAGCTCAGCTATGAATGAGGCTCTCGGTCTCAACCCCAGCTCCAGAACACAATGTAAAAGCTGAGTGATAACCTTTGAAGTGTACCCGGACAAAATCAAATTGCACCTCTGCGCTATGGGAGGTGGAAGAGGAACCAAACAAGAAGGCACAAGACACTGAAAAGGGGAGCTTGTGGGGGAGCTGATGAGCAGGTCCACGGAACAGCTTGTCCCCCTTGGAGCACGAGGATGGAAATGGTACAGGGTGCTCCCAGGGGATGGAGTTATTGATCATTTGGAAAAGAAAACTCATAGTCATTTAATGATTGGTGACAGAAAAATATCAGGATAGGTGTATAATAAATTAAGTAAAAAAAGAAAAATAGAAGGCTCTATAAAAAGAAACCAACTGTAGTGCACTAGCTGGCCGGCTTGTCAGTGATATCTGCACAGAGGTTCACAACTGGGCCCCTAACCATGAAAGAGCTATGTGGGAGAAGGCATGGGAGGGGCCGAACCACTTTTGATTTAGTGAAAGGCCCAAATCAAAGTTGGTCAAAGCATATCTCTACCGACCAATCAGGAGACAGCAGTATAATTTAGTTAGCCTCAGTGAGGGAAATGACAGGGGAGACAGGTACAAGTAACATGTGGTTGCCCGTAGAAAGAAGATAGAGAAGGTAGGGTGTAAGTAGGTACGATGATACGATAAAATACTATCTTTAAAAACTAAGTGTGCAGTGCTTACATCGGTTTAGAAAGGAATACAACCAAGCTCATTTGGTGAGAAAGGAAAGATAGGCCAACTCAATCTCCCCTCGTGTAATTTTTCAGGAAATGTGTGATCCAGAAAGACTTCGAAGAAGTTGTGTCAAGCCTGGTCGTTTTAGGATGCATTCATTACAAGGTTGCACACTTTGCACACCCTTCTTTATTTCCACGATCCTCACACACCCAGGGGCCAGATCCCCGCCAGAACTCCCACAGACACGGCCGCCCTGGGAGTGGTAGTTATAAATCCCACCTGGGCTAATTCTGCTTCTTCCCAATCAGGAGAAACAGGGCCAAGTCCGGTTCCTCCTGCCTCGTTCCCCTGGCAACCACATTAAACTGCAGGGATAAAGCACCTTTGTCGTGGCCGCTTCTATTGAATTACACGTCAGTGTTGATGGTCACCCAGGAAACCCGGGATGACCACGGTCTGGGAGCAGATTCTGGGGGTCTTCACGGCTCTGGAATCCCAGGATGAGAAGTGCCTGACCCTCTTAGGTGCCACTTGACAGGTCCGCATGCTCCATCGCGGCCTCTCTGTTCCACAGCCCAGCTCCTGAAAGGACACTCACCTCTTTGGACATCTGTAAACCGCCTGGTATCTGTTGCCCATCAGGGACACAAGACGTGTTTGTTGCGGATAAGAATGTCAAAAATGCCATTATGCAACCGATCCGGCCGTCCAGTCCCACCCCACCCCGCCCCCCACCCGCGGGCACACGGCGACTGTAGTCCCTCCTCTGGCCACTGTCAACAGTTGTCCTCCCGCGGGCACTCGATGCCTGGCGCTGAGCTGCGCGTCCGATTCCGGTTGGCTCGGGGTTTCCGTTTGACCCACAATCCCAAGTGCTCGCAGGTGCTGCGCCCCGCACCCGGGGCCTTCGCCCCCGCGCCCTCCTCACCTGCCCCCGCAGCCGGGGCGCAGGGTAGCCCGCCCCGGCCGCCCAGCCCTGCCCGCTCCCCGCGGGCCCCACGCAGGCAACTTCGCACGAGCGGCCGCCGGGCGCGGGGCCTTACCTGGGCGCGCCTCTGCCAATGGCAGCGCACCTGAGCGGCCCCGCAGCCAATCACCGCGCGGCTCGCCCCTCGGCTCGGGCCCTTTAGTGAAAGAATTCGGCTCCGCGCGAGCAAGTTACCTGTGGCCGCCCGGGTCCGCCGCCCTCCGCTCGCAGCCTGCCCGCTGCCCCGCCGGGAGGACCGGCGTCCGGCCGGCCCGCGCGCGGCCCCCATCCCACCTGTCCGGCTAGGTGAGGGCGCGCGGGCGAGGAGCGCGGCGCGGGGGGACGCGAAAGCAGAATTACCTGTAGCTCTTGTTCTGCCATCGCGGGCGCGCTCACCTGCACAGACCTGAAAGTCCAGTTTCTCCAGAGGCTGAGGCTCCAGGAAAGGGGAGCGAGTTCATTGGATCAAACATGTCACAAGAGTCGGACAAGTAAGTGGATCGCACGCGCCGGCTGCTGCCGCCGCCACCACCGGGGGCCGATGGCACCTGGTTGGTTCCGATTTTGGTTTTGGTTTTATTTTGTATTTTTAATTGTATTGTTAACTTTTTTTTTCTTTCTGACTTTCTTTTTGGTGCCTCCCAACTTTCCCGGATTACGCAAGGGCCGAGCCCCTTGCAGACGTGAATGTGTGGTCCCGCAGTGGGCCTGGCCAGCAGCCCCAGTGTCCCCGTCCTCCCGCGCCCCGCCAGTGACCCCAGCGTCCCAGCCCAGACCTTGGCCTTGGCGCCCTCGGACCCCGTCCCCGGGCCTGTGGCCCCCCGCCCCCAGGCGCACCCCCGCCCCAGCCCCCCAGGGCCTTCGGAAGTCCGGCTGGTCCCCGCCGTTTGTCCGCACGGCCCGAAGCCGGAGCGGGTCGCGGCCGCTTTTGTGCGAGCGCAACAAAGGGCTCCATGCGGGGACGCCGCGCCATGTTCGCTGCGCCCGACGCGCGAGGCCGGCCTCCCGCGGGTCCGCGCCCCCTGCCCGGATCGCCTGCAGGGGGAAGGCGGGGGCGGCCCGGGGACAGGGCCGGGGGCCCGGAGGCCGCCCGTGTCGAGGCCCGCGCCAGGGGCGCGCTCGGTGCTGCTTGGGGCGGCCGGTCGCAGGCCGGGGACCCTCGGGGACCCTCGGGGACCCTCGGGGAGGCCGCGCCCGCCCGCCCGCCCTCCCCCCACCGCGCAGGCCCGCCGGCGGTGACCGGGCGGCCTCGCCGCGGGCGGCTTTGTGTGGCGGGAGGTGGGGCGAGCGCGCGACTCGGCGGCGACGCTCCCTGCCCCCTCCGGCCGCGGGGTGGGACCCACGGGCGCCGCGGGCCGCCCCCTCCCGCCCGGAGCCCGCCGCCACCGTCCGGGGACCTTCCGAGGCGGCCCCGCCTGGACGCCCGGGCCGGACACGAGGGCAGGCGGCTGGGGAGGGAGCGAGGGAGGCCCGAGGAGTGTGCCCGGCGCCGGCGCCGGCGGGAGGCGACCCGAGAGCTCGGGCTGTCACACCCCGGGCTCGCGGTCCCCGTGGATGGAGACGCGGCCGCCGGCTCCCACCCCAAGGGGAGCAGCCGCGTCCCACGCCGACGCCACGCGAGGCGGGGGTGGAGGCCCCAGGCCTCACCAAGTGAAAAACGGGTAGCCAAAGCCCAGGCGACCCAAGCTTTCTGGGCTTGGTTTTGTTTTGATTTAGTTTGGTCTTCGCGCCCACAATGGCTGCAAACCCACTTTAGTCACACGAGGAACACTTGTTTGTTTCGGTTTGTGCTACAACACGACTCGAATTCCTATGGAAATAGATCGGATTTTATTTGAACAAAATAGTACCTGGCACCGAAGGGCAGTTTCTTTCCAGTGCGGGGAACTGCCCAGCGGTAACAATCCGGGTGCACCGCCCCGCACTGCCTGGCTTTTATGGCAATGGCTCCGCATTTAACGAGAATGGCTGTTATCCACTCGCGGTTCCAGAACTTTTTGTACCCTGGACAAAGTAATAACGAGACCCACGACCTGACTTCTCTTGTTCTCTCTGCTTGCATTGTTGAGGCCCATTTGGAGCCCGTCTGGAACGCTAAGTGACTTTTTGATCCCTTTTACGAATTCGAGCTTGGTTTCCTTCAACGAAGGCCTGGCAGGGGTGGGTCGGGGCGCAAAGGTCCTGAGATCGCTGGGAAGGGTTGCAGGGAGAGGAAGAGCTGCAGAGAGAGGAGGGCGCGTGGGGTGGACACTGGGCGCAGGGCAGGTTGGAGACGTGGGCCCTCCAGGAAGGGCCCAGCACGCAGCAGGCCTCGGCTTCCTGGTGAATCCTCCCGGGAGGCCTCTCCTGCCTCCTGGGCAGTTTTAAAAAGCACGAATCAGAGCTTCCCACCGACTTGGCGAGAGGCAGGGACTCTGGCACAAGGAGGCATTTCCAGCCAGCGAGTGGGGACGCAGGGGTACCGTCTTTTTTTTTTTTTTTTTTTTTTATTGGTGTGGACTTCTCGGATTGAAATGTTCTGCTGCTTATTATGTTCTGTCCTGCTGATGCTATCGCTCATGAAAGCAACACTGTTAGGACATTTTGTCTTTGTGCATATCTTAAAACGCTCTACTCCCCCACCTTGAATTTTATGAAGATTTGTGGTCTCCGTCAACAAGTACGTGTGTAAGCAAGGCAGTGTGACGCTTAAGAAACTTCTGTTTTACTGTCAAAGTGTGTAAGATATATCAGAGGAACCCTGCGTGTGTAATATTTGATACAGGTATTTTGCACCAGGTAACTATAGTTTCTGACTCCCTGTTACTTACAGTACTCAGGCATAAGGCTTCAGGGTGGGCCACGGCCTCGTGGGGCTTGCACCCTAGCAGCCAGTGAGACAGAAGGAGGCGATTTAATCAGGACAATGCGATAATCATCTACAGTTACCAAAACCCCGCAACAGGTGCAAAATGTTTTTAAAACTCCACTGCAGCTCATGGTACATGTCCACTTTTCCCCAGCTAACCCACTTCTGTGGGTTTTTGCCTAGGAGAACTACTTTTAGTTATTTTGTGTGCTTTCGCTTAAGGAGTTCGCTGTTATTCAGAAAGGTCTTAAGTTCCAGCCAATCAGGCTGCTGGGTGACTGCATCCATCTAATTAAACCACCCACTCTTCCCTTTTGCACATGTGTGTGCGCACTCCCATTATGCTCTAGAAGATCTCAAACATCAGGAACCCATCATCTCTTCCCCCAGCCAATACAAATGGCTGTTCATTTCTCACAAATGTGTCAGACGCCACTGTCTCCTGGGCGCTGGTGCTGGTACTGAGATTTTTCTGGGGAACACAGGAACGGGACTGCCCTGACATTGTAGTGTACATGCTGGGGAGCAGCCAGCAATTCTGCCAGGAAGAAAGTATCTAATGAACCCTGCAGTGACCAAGGCTTAAGAGGGAGCTCTTGTATATATATTAGCCCAGGACAGTCTCTGTGATGAGATGACCCATGAATGTAGACCAGAAGGAAGTCAGAGAGGGAGCCCTGAAGACACCCAGTGTGTGAGTGCTGTGTGCAAGCTGGAAGAGCAGTGCAAAGGCCCTGTGGTGAGCGTACTTCTCATATTGTAGGACAGAGAAAGAGGGCAATGTGGTGGATCAGAGGTAGACAACAATGAGATCATCAAGTGAATCAATGCAATCAGGTCTTCATTCAGACATCTTCATAGTCAACGTAGGTAAGAGGCAGTAATACTATCCTCACCAAGGAAATGAAGCCCTGACAGTACTAGTCCTGTCTGTGTCCCAGTGCTACCGGTTTAATAACGGTTTGGGCCCAGAGCTGTCCTCCCCACGGTGGGTGAGATCTTCCTTGCTTCCCATTTCAAAGGTGGATAAATGCCAGGGCCTTAGGATGGAGATAGATGAGCCATAGCTGGGGTCGCTGTGACACCCACTTTGCAGGCACCTGTAGCTGCTGGCCCAGATCTGAGCTTTCTGCAGCAAGCAATGTGTCTGCTTTGCTTTTCTCTTGTTCTTGTTCTTCTGAACCCGCGTCCCTCAGGCAGCAGGACCTGTCACATGTCTGGGAGACGCCGGCTTCTCATCGGCTGTGAAGTCTGGGAAATCGATAGAGGTGACCCACGTTGAAGCAGGAAAAGGCTGGACCACGATGTGAAAAGCTGGACTAGTGAAGGCCGGTAAAGACAGTTAGGAGCGTGCTCACCATCAGGCCTTATTAAGGAGCCCCGCAAATGCTGCTTCCCAGACTTGGATGATTCCAAAAACATCACCGGAAGCAACTGATAATCCTAGAGAAGGCCCCTCGGTCCCGACCCGGAGGGGCTGAGTCCGATTCTCTGCGAGAGAACTCGGGGAATCTACAGTTAGACTGCGCCCCGGCCATACCTGAAGGTTAGGTCAACACAGAGGTGTGTGATAGCACTTTACATAATAAATGCAATTCTGTGCAACTTTCTGGTCCACAGTCAGTATGTAAATGAAAGGAAACCTGTGGGCTTTTCTTGTATGCCTCCTCGGATGAGTGTACCTTTGATGCGATCTTCGTTTCGCCTTCTCTGTATTCTGTCCACGTTCATGGTTTGCTGAATGGCCGCTTCTGAGAGAGGGCATCCTTTTGACCTGCTTTATGTTTCCTGAGCTGCTAGAGACCTGACTTAAAGTGACAGTATCCCAGTTCGTGTTTCTGGCTGGATGCAGCTTGCCTGGGGGCTGGTGGGGGTTAGAAGCCAACTTGCCCCTCTGGAATTGTACATGGTAACTTAAAAGTAGCATCATTCCTCAAGAGGACTAACCTTCATCCTTAGATTCTACCTGCTGCCTCTAGTGCAGTGGAGAGAGCTCCAGTGTGTACTGGCCTCTGGTGAAATGATTTGATAAGATTCCATCTAATAGACTGCAAAATTAAAAAAAAGGAATTTAGAAGGTAGTTGGGCGCGGTAGTGCACACCCATAATCCCAGCTACTTGGGATTCTCAGGCTGGAGGATCCCAGATTCAAAATCAGCCTGGGAGGATTAGGCAGACTCGCTCACATTTGAAAAAAAAAGCACAGGAGAGGCAGCCTGTGGTAGAGCACTTGGTTAGTGCACGCGAGGCCCTGGGTTCACTTCAGCTCCACAAAAACAAGCAAACAAACATCTAATTATAGCTAAAGGAGAATCTCTGTTCCTTAAGTTGTCTGATTTACTCTTTAAAAACTCTGACAGGTAACTGAGGCAAGTGCTTCTATCCTTTCTGACTCTGGTCTAACTAGGTACAAATTCCAGGCTAAAAAATGAACCCTTGGGTTCAATAGTGTTTTCCCGTCCATCCCTTCCTTCCTCCTTACGGAACCAGGAGGCTTTCCCTCTCTCCATCCTTCTCGACTTTTCCTATCTTCCTCGTGTCATTTTCCCCACTCTCTTCTTCCCCTGCTGCGAAGTGACCGTGAAGCGTTGTAGATCCCTGCGGAAGTGGGTGCTGGGGGCTGAGGTCGGCCCTTGGCCGCCTGCCCTGGTGCCTGCAGCAGTCCGTCCTGGCTCTCTGGCCCTGCAGGTAGGCTGGTGGCAGTGGGTGGTATTACCCGCTCTAATTCCACCTTGGAGAAACATTAGGCCTTTTAGAATAAGGAAGACCCTTTGGGGTCCTCGCCCAACATTCCCGCCAGCCACCTGGGGAGTCCAGGGACTCAGTGGCACACGCCAGGCCTCCACTGAAACCAGGGAGTGATTGGCTTGGCACAGAGGTCCGGAAAAATTCCCCGGCGAGCAGCAACAGGCTGCGGAGGAATTTCTGCTTTGGCCCCAGGACTAGCGGGTTGCTTAGTGACAGCGCCTACCTGAGTGTCCTGCCGTCACTGGCCTTGCCATTTAGGCTTCCAAGACTTCCACTGAGCCCGTGTCCACCAGCCTGCAGGGCTCTGCACCTTGAGGAGGCGCAGACCCTTGCAACATTCTGTTTATTTTTCCCTTGCAGTGAAGTGTATTTGTTTCAGTTCTGTTGTAGGCACTGAACCCAGGGCCTCGCACTGGCTCACCCTGTAAAACCAGGCTGCCCTGCAGAGCTGCTTAATAGTAAGCGCTAAGGGGAGCTGGACTGTCCTGAGCTCTTCCAGACAGAAGCCAGGGAGCATTTCTCAGAGGATTTTTACGCTCCCCCACCGCCCAGCCGGCTGGGCAGGGACTTGGAAGTTCCTTAGCTTGCTGTGCTTGGTGAGGGGCAGTAGCACTGGACACGCTACCAGCCGAACTGCCTCGTCCTGTGCCAGCTACAGGCCCATTTTAGGGGATTCCATCGCATCCTGGAGAAGTTGGGGTTGGGGAGTGCGCCGGGTGCATTTGAATGGGCCTTCCGCGGGGAGCGGTGGCCGCCTGCCGGGGGTGAAGAGCCTCATTTCACTTTGTAATGACCTTGGCCCAGGGCTCTGATTTCACCCCCTCCCGAGGAAATGCCCTCTTTACAAGTGCGAATGCGGCCGTCCTCCCAGCGGAGAGGGAAGGCGAGCTTCAGGCTGTCTCTGCTGCGACTAGATACCTGCATTCCATCCAAACCCCCGAACCCCAACGCACAAATGCAGAGAATTGCAGGGGCCCACAGGCTCTGGGTTTCTAAACATTCAGGAATTCGCATCAGGTTTTTGTTTTTTTTCGTGGTGCCGTGGATGCAAGCACCTTGGCACTGAGCTGCACGCCCAGCCCTGACACGAGGCTTTTCCCAGAGGGCGCCCGGGCCAGGACGATGTGGTCCCCCCTCGCTGGGCCGCAGAGCCGGGTCCGGCTGGTGTGGTTCGCGGTTGACTGCGGGGAAGCGGGTTTTGATTTGAACTCAAAGCCTGGAATCCTCCAGCCAGGGCAAACCTGGAGCTCGCTGCAGCCAGGTCAGCAGGTTTAGGGCTGGTCATTCTGCGTCGCGCGTTTTGGGCCTGCAGTGGGAAGCTCCGGCCGCCCCACCTGCTCGCCGGCTCCGGGAGCGGGTGGTCTGGGTTTACCCGCCGCGCAGGCCCGGGTGCCCAGGCCCGGCCGGTGGCCTCGCCTCCACGTCGTGGTCCTGCTTCCCGGCACGCAGGGCATCCGGGCCGGCCCTGCCCGTCTGGGATCCAACTTTCAAAGAAGCCAGAAACAAAGTAGCTCTCGCGTCTTTGCTGCGCTGCCAGCGGCGCCGAAGCTCAGCTCGCGTCCTGGTTTGCAGCTGGAGAGGAGCTGCGGGCCATGCGGTCCAGGACAGTCGCCTGCCCCAGCGCCCGAGCCTCCTTCGGTCCGAGCTGCAGGAGGGAGGGCGACAGGCCCGGGCGGCGTCAGGACCAACCCAGCCCCAGGCGGGCTGAGCGGGCGCAGGCGCTCAGGGCCTCCCGGCCTGCAGAGGCTGCTGCCTCGGGCGCTCGGACCGGGGCGGGAGGAAGGGAGGGAGCCCAGCCTGCCCAGGCCCAGGCTGCCGGAGGCCGCCGAGGAGGTCGGGGCGGGGCGCTGGGAAGGGGCGGCGCCCGCCGTCTCCTCCCTCCTCCGCCCACCTTGGCCTCCTCTCCGGCCTCCTCGCAGTCCTTCGCCCTGCGCCTGCTTTCTTCCTCCTTCGCTCCCCCTCTCCCTTCTTTCCTTCCCTTCTCCCTCTGTTCTCCCCTCCTTCTCCTGCCTTCTCCTCTCCCTCTCTCTCCTCTCCTCCCATTTCCTCCTGCTCCCCCCTCCTCGCTCTCTCTCCCTTTTTGACTGTGTGACTTGGGGACCCTTCACTGCCAAGCACTATTCCTGGCCTGCGGTGAGCCTTCAAAAAGATATTAGCTGATCTGGAGGGAAGGGGCGGTGGGGGCCTCAGTCTAAGCTAAGCTGATACATTATTTCATTTTGTGGCACAAACTGCCTTCACCCAGGTCCGGATAAGGCATCCCCCTGCTGCGCTGTCCCACTGCAGAGCTGGAGCGTGCGCGGTTTGCTCTCCACCAAGGTTCTGAAGTTTCAGGAGTTGTCATGAGGGCACATTCGATGGACTCTGCACACTAGACTTTTAATTAATTTAATTAATTTAATTTTGATGTTTTGGAGTCTTTGTCTATATTTTTTTTTAAAAAAAACGACGTGTATCTTCCGTATTTTGATAAAAGACAAATGCCACAGTTGCAGTGGAGGTCACAGAGCCAAGGAGGACAATTCACAGGTATTCCACCCGTGCTAATGAACATCTGCAGTCGTGTTTAGCCTTGTAATAACCCAAGGAATACAGATTACAACTGGGAACCTTCCAGATTCTCTTGCCAGACTGACCCAGATTGACCGTGCTAGGTTTGGGAGGACGCAGGGAGGCAGGCAGCCTGTGAGGGTCCACTCCGGGATGCCCCATTCCAATCTTAGGGATCTCTCCTAAGGAAATAGGGGGAAATGCGTCACTTGCTTGGAAAACGCAGAATCAGGACGTGGGCGCAGAGGGTCGTTTAGAAATCGCAGCTCAGGCAGAGAGAGGCGAGGCGCAGAATCTAAACAGCGTGGAAACCCTTTCAGCGCAGGGGGAACGGGTTCACAGCCCAGCGAAGGAAGTGCGCGCCGCCAGCTCCGAAGGTTGCAGGCAGACTGCTCCAGACAGCAGAGTGGTCTTCCCGGCGCTTCTCATGCCCATTCTGTTTGCTGACAAGAGTTGGCAGTAGATTTGCCTTTTATTTTTTGGTACTAGGAATCGAACTCAGGACCTGTGCTTGCCAGGCAGGCGCTCCTGCTGCTGCTGAGCCAAATCCCCAGCTCACCTTTGTTATGCAGGAGGAATATTAAAACTTTGCTGTAAAAACAGTCACTGTGCAGAAACCCTGAAAATCAACACGGGTGCACCCTATTAACGTGCAGAGGCTGCCTGCCTGCACACCAGGCAGTGGGACCCTGCAGTGGACGCCTCTCCCTCCCTTTGGGGATTAAGCAGCTGGTTGTGATTTCCTTTCCGCATGAAAAGCAGTGTAGGCAGGTCTGCCTTTTTATGATTTTCTAAGTAACTGATTTTTCCCTAACACACTTACCTCTGCCCGGAGGGAGGGCTAAGCCTGAGACTAACTGCCCCTCGGAGCCAGTGCACAGACCGAGCCAGATGAGATCGCATCTCTGCAGCGGCTGTGGGCCACTGTTGGGGGGCTTTGTCTCACACTCGGCCTGTCCCAGGAGCCCCCACCCCAGGGAACAGCAAGCACGTGATGTAAACTTGGAGAAACTGGCCTTGCAGAATCACAGGTGGAAGTGGCCGGCGTGCTGGTGCACACTTACCGCTCCAGCTCCTGGGAGGCTGAGACAGGAGGATCACAGGTTTACAGGCAACTTAGCAAGATCTTGTCTGAAAATAAAAAGGGCTGGAGATGTTGCTCGGTGGTGGAGCTCTTGCCTGGCATGCATGAGGTTCTGTTTTCAACCTTTGTTACAGAAAACAAACAAACAAAAAAAATGGGAAGTGTCTGTAAAATGGGAACACGACTAAAGTAATCTCTGACTGCAAATCCACAGAGCAAAAGCTAATTTTTTTAGTTGTGTGTTCAAAGGTGACATTTGCAATCGTCCCTTCTTTCCCATTCCTTTCTCTTGCATCCTCCATCCAGAAATTTGCCAGGTCTCAAACACCGCACCTAGTTTTTTTATTTTTGTTCTTCCTGTGTTTTTGTGATAGGCTCTCACTGCAGTTCACGCTGGCTTTGAGCTCACTTTGTAGCCAGGCTGATCTTGAACTCGAAGCGATCCTCCTGCCTCAGCCTCCCGCGTGCTGGGGTTACGGGTGTGCCCCACCACACTTACTGTACCTTGTATTTCTGAAAACCTTCTGTGTTCTGTGGTAGTTGAGGGTATGAATAAGCGCAGTCTTCACAGTCCTCGTCCTTGGACCCTAAGCCGTCTCCGCGTTCTGTGACCCTGTGAGATGCACTCTGTGTTCTCAGCCACGCAGCGGCACCCGCCCGCTCAGCACGCAGGAGTCTGCCCCCATTGTGAGGTGACCAGGTCACCCCTCGCCTTCCCTGTCTTCCCTGCACCACAGCTCTTACTGGTGATGGTGGTGGCCCTGCTGTTACCAACACCCCGGAGCTCAGAGCAGCTGGGAACGCGGTTGTGACTCTGGGCTTGGCTTGGCCTCATGTATTAGCTGGTGACTGAGTCACTTTTTTATAGTCTGTGTCTGCGGGGGATAATGATAGCCTTCCTCGTGGGGAGTTCACCCCCTCACTCATCTTCCTTTGTCCCCTGCCCCTTAGTCCCTGGGTCCCTCCTGGTGTGATTTCTTTTTTTGTGTGTTCTCTCTCTCTCTCTCTCTCTCTCTCTCTCTCTCTCTCTGGTACCAGGAATCGAACTCAGATCCTCACACTTGCTAGGCAGGTGCTGTGCCACTGAGCTGTATGGTCCCAGCTCTGTTTTCTTTTTAAGAGACATTTCTTTGGGAACTTTTTTTCCCTAATTGTGAAAATGACAAGTGTGCTTAAGGAAAAATTGGAAGCCAGAAAAAAATACAGAGAATTAAACTCACGCATAATTGTAGGACCCGGTGAGAGGTTTGTGTGTTTCCTTACAGCTCCTCTGTGTGAAAGCTAATGCGGTCTGCGAGCGTGTTTGTACAAGCCGCAGCACACGAGCCCGAGCGCCCTCCCGCACTGTGCGCTGTCCACCTGAGCCCCTCTCCTGCCTCTTGGCCGGCCGGAAGGGTTGTTCAGCACAGTGTTTGAAGATGAAGTCTGTCGTCTCCTCTTTCATATTTAGGTTGTTTTCAGTTTTCGTATAAGAAGTCGTGTTTATTTGTAAGTCAAATCTCTGGTTACTACTGCAGGTTTCTGGGAGGATGAGAATGAAAGATGCGAATATTTTAAAATCCTTGATACAGGATTTTAAAATGTCCTGTAGGAAGATGTGATTGCTTATATTCTCCTGTGATGCCCAGGGGTATCTTTGTCATACAGTCTCTCCATAAATGAGGATTATTTTGGGGGGACTATTTGTTTATTTGTTTATCTCTCTCTCTCTCTCTCTCTTTTTTTTTTTGCACTGAGGATCAAATCCATGAGCTTGTGCTTACTTACCAGGCAAGCACTTAAACCACTGAGCTAAATCCCCAGCCTGTGGGGGGGGGGTGTCTATTTGAACAGCAAATTAATAATTATTTTTGTTTAATTTGTAGTTTAAAAACTGATAAAATTAAACATTTTTTCAGATTTGTAGTGATTTATGCTTCCTTTGTTTTTTGAGGGTTTTTTTTGTGTGTGTGTGTGTGAGTTTTGTTTGTTTTTTGAGACGAGGTTTATCACTATGTAGCCCAAGGTGACTTTGAACTCACTAGAATCCTCCTGCCTCAATCCCTGGAGTACTGAGATTACAAATGTGTGTCACCACTCCTGCCTTGTGTGGTGTTTTGAGTGAAAAGTCTTATTTTTATGTCTTTCTTTTGGCTGTATTGGGGATTGAACCCCGGACCTTTGCACTGAGATATATCACCAAGCTTTATTATTCTGTATTTGAGGTAGAGTCTCAATAAGTCTCTAAGTTGCCCAGGCTGGGTTTGAATTTGCAGTCCTCCTGCCTCAGCCTCCTGGAGTGCTGAGATTATAGTTGTGCGCCAGCAAGACTGGCTTCAAGGAAGATGTGGCCCTGATCCCGGCTCCCACGTGTGGCCGTGCCGTGTGGAGGGCACGTGGCTGAGGGGACCTTGAGACGCTGTCTGGCTTTGCTTCCCGCTGGGGACTGCCCAGAACACCTTCCCACACCTGTGCAGATATTCTGGCCTCTCCTCACCACTCCCTAAAACAGTGTGGGGCTGGCGTCCGTACCCCTGACTTGTCAGAGCTCTTTGTACAGCTGACACTGTCAACCTTTCATTAAAATTCCGGCCAGCATTTCCTCAAAGTTGATCTCATGATTTAAAGAATGTTCCCAGGTTTGCGTGTTGTGTGTTGGTTCTATTCTTTTTCTGAGTGCGAATCGTTTCGTCCCCTTCAAATGCTGAAAGTTTAAGGTCAAGCTCATAGGAAGTTGATTTGTACTTGAGCTGTCTTCCACCACTCAGAGACATTAGCCCTGTATTCTGACATCCACATTTTCAGCCCTTTGCTAAGCCGCGTGCACCCACACCCGTCCTGGCGCAGAGGTGCGGTGGTGATTTGTGCTGAGTACTGGCTGACTGTGCCCTCGTGGACACCGCTGCCCACCTGGTGTCTGACAGGCTCCAAGGCCCTTCTTCAGCGCTCAGCCCTGTTCTCTTTTCGGACTTTGCCAACTTGTAACTTGTTTTGAAGTGTGTATCTTTTTTTCATTTATTCAAAGTGTATTTCCCTTCCTTCCTTTTTCTTTCTTTTGTACCAGGGATCGAACTCACGACCTCGAGCTTGCCAGGCAGGCGCTGTGCCACTGAGCTATAACCCTGATCCCTTCCTTCTCCCCATCTTTGTTTTCCTGGTGCCGGGGACCCATGAGCTGGCCCCTGGTAAGCAGCTCCTCTCACTGACCCTGTCCTCAGATTGTATTTTCAACCTTAGTCAAGCTCTGCACATTTTTTTCTTCTTGGAGACAGAGTCCTGCCACGTAGTTCAGGCTGATCTTAACCTCAGTGTTTAACCCAGGCTGGGCTTACACTCCCAGCATCCTCCTGCCTCAGCCTCCCGAGAGCTGGAATTACAGAGCCACATCACTAAGCTGCCATTTGGTATGTTAAAAGCCTTTGGGCTGAAGCTGTAGAGGGCTGTAGACTGAAGCTGCAGACCAGAAAGAGTTTGTTAGCTGTGAGCTCTTCTCTCAGGGCCAGGTCCTTGGGCCCAAGAGCAAGCCCTGATTCTCAGCTGGGTCTTTTGCCGCAGAAAGCAGAGCCCAGCTCATTGGTTCAGGTTGCCCAGTCAAAGCCCTGAAGTTCTGGCGGTTTAGTGAAGGGACAGAGCCTGCACCTCCAAGCAGACCACTTGTGAATGCGCTCGGGGCTCACACACAGCAGCAGCCCACGCCTGTCCCCTTGTGCCCCACTTCCCGTTTCTGCAGAGGGCAGACCCAGGGCTGGCACCTGCCAGGGGAAGAAGGCTGCTAGTGTAAGGCTGGAGGGCGGCTGAGGGACCAGGTCACCTGGAAAAACTGGCCTTTCACTCTGTACCTTCCATCACTGTGTACCCACGGGCGGTCATCACCTGTGGGAGCCAGGAGACCGCTGCGGAGCGAGACAGGGGGTCTTCAAAGCTTCTGCTTCGTTTTGATTTGAAAAGATGGTTTCTCATTTCCCAGGCTTGGTCAGGTTTACGTCCATTTGTATTTACTGGTTATTTCTGTATTATGCCTGTTATTACGGGTTAAGAAATGCTTCGTTTATCTAAGCAGTGGGATTATTTAAAAAGAACTCATTTTCCAGAGGTAAATCTCCGGGGCCCTGTAACTACACTTTCTGTTTACAAACTCTCTTAGAGTTGTAGGTTAGAGCGTGTCTGTGTTCTCCATTATCCGAGCGTTGCTTGAGGAGGTCAAGATAACAGCCGCAGAAGCTGCGTCTTAGAGACGCAGTGCGTGGGCTGATCCACTGGACCCAGTGCCCAGCTGTAACCCTAAAGTGCCACAATGCAGTTAAACCTGAATGCTGAGGTTTTAGGGGGAAAAAAAACCCCGCAAGGTCGCCTGGGAGAGGGCTCGCTGCCTGCCTGCTTGGCTGGTTCAGCATCCTGGTCTGGGACGGTTGGGAGTCTGTCGTAAGGACTGGGGGCTCTCAAGGCAACCACAGTGATCAGGAATCTTTGTTTGGTGAGTTGTTTATGTTTTCCTTCAGTCCCTGGGCGTAGGTTAACTTTTTTGATTTGTACCCCTTCCCCTTTCCGAATCTAGGAGAAACTGTGAAATGCAGAGGTGGCTTGTTTGGCTGCTGATGAAAAGAGAAAATGTTCAGTTGAACTCGTTACTTTAAATGCATTCTTAGGTTATCTGGGGCTTCATGCTATCCCTTGTCTTTTTCTGTTTTGTTTGTTTGTGTTTGGCACCGGAAATCAAATGCACGGTCTTGCACTTACCAGGCAGGCGCTGCCGCTGAGCTTCGTCCCCGGCCCACTCTGTCCTACTTTTAAAAATCCTTGCCCCTGAAATTTGCAGACTTCATCATCAGAAGGCTGCCGTTCTCAGGCTGTAATTCCTGCTGTGAATCTATGAAACACTGTGTAAGGGGTCACAGTGCAGATTTTTGTAAGCAATCTCCGTGTTTGCTCCATGTTTTTATGCATTTTTCTTTTAAATATGCTAAGGATTCTCTATCTCAGACTTACATTTAGTTACATGGAGGTTGTTACTGCGGTTTTCACTATTATAAAATCACAGCTTTACAAAAGTTCTCAGGCATAACGCCAAGAGTTTTGAATCTTTTCTAGAATAAATTCACTGGGTTTTTGCAAATATTAAAAAAATATATGTTTCATTACATAGCAACTATGAACTTTAAGGAGATAAAAAATATCTACCTCTTAGGATTCTCTCCTATTGCTTTCGACAGGATTTTAATGGTTTGTGGACTGTTCTCTCATATTTTTCTAGGCGTCATGCCACACATCAATGTCTGTTTTTAAATTTTTACCTTGTTTTATGTGTTACTATACACACTGTTTCATGTCAATACATAACAATACATAATTGTTCTATGTCAATAATAAAGAATCTCTTTTCTTTTCTTTTTTGAGATGGGGTCTCACTACACAGTTCAGGCTGGCCTTGAGCTCACTTTGTAGCCCAGGCTGGTCTCGAACTTGCAGTGATCCTCCTGCCTCAGCCTCCAAGTGCTGGGATGAGAGGAGTGTGCCACCAGGCCTGGCACAGAATCACCTTTCTTACGGTACACAGAGTTCCACAGCAGGCCTCTAGGAGTTACTACAGGATGAACTTGTAGAAGCGGAACCCTGAAGCCAGCACACGTGTCACTGTTAGACTGCTCTCCAGTGACACTGCCTCAGTTTACACTTTGGGCGGTGACGTTTCCAGATGCCCACGTCAGCCCAACATTCCCACCAGTGGGGCCCTGCCCACCTGTATAACTTTGCCCACTTGGAAAACAGTGTCTTCCTCTTCTCTTCACTTACGTTTTAGTTCTCTTCGTGTATTT